AAAAATATCTTTACCAAATTTCACCAAATCGTCAATCGTTGTCAATTACAAGTCGAAATAAAGTTATTGCCAATCCAAAGTTATTGCCAATCGGTTTTCGGAGACGCGCGAATCCAAGCCAATCGCCAAATCGCAGAGAGGATATAAATATATCTGCGTGAGATTCTTTTGCTGTATAGCATCTCCCGCGGGAAGAGGATCAAAGACGTTAGGACTTTACCTGTCCCGACGATGAGCGGAGGAGGGGAAGACGAGCTGGATTTATAAGATGGCAGCCGATTCCTTTCGCGCCCCTTCGGTATGGCCGACATACGGGAGAAACTTTCTCCGCGATTATCCGCCTCTCTGTTTCATCCCCCGGAGGATTTTGCCGACCGTTATCCCCGGTACATCCGGAACGATCTCCTTTAAGGGATGAGCTTTAAGGCGCGAGCTTGGCAACGAGTCCGAGATGGATGTTATACGGAGGAATGTTCAAACGCGCGCGCGCACGTTCTTTGAACTCGCACAAAAGGTCCCTCGCCGTAAAAATTACTATTAAAATTCCCCAATCCGCGCGCGGTACAGTATTCAACGCGTGCGAGCATTATACGTGAAGCGTGCCCATCAGGCACGTCGAGCGATTCCAGTGTTTGCGAACGAGGAAAGGCGCAAAGGATCGGTTATTGGAAAAAAATCGTCAAAGGCCAGTCATGTGGCGCCAACGTGTGTATAATTAGACAAAACGGCCTTTCATGCTTAATCCCCTACATCCGGAATAAAGCAACTTTCAGCGCTTTTTCATTCGTGAACGCTCTTCGACGCGCATGGACGGACGTAGTACGTCTTTCGGAGGTAATTAGCGCCGGATCGTGCGAGAGTAAATCGTGGAACCGTGAATCGTAAACCGAATGGAAACGCTGTTATCTGTGTTTCAATGGTCCACGCGAGCCATTGGAGATCCTCTGAGTTTATCCCCCGATTTCGATCAAACGAAAAGAAAATATTTTCAAGTTCTACGCATTTGGCGTGTATATGCGCCGCATTTCAATATTAATAAAAACAGATTAATAATATATTGAGCAGGTGTACGTATTTCGATATAATAAAAAACATAATACTGAATAATGTAATATCTCGACAATGATGTTAATAATATATTTAACGTTCATTCCATAATCGATCGACGCAACGAGAAATGCAAATGAAATATGCATTTCATACAGAATTCTTTGTCCCGCGATCAATCCATTGATCGACTCGCATATTTGCCCGGCTCCGGCTCGCGATCGGATTAAATTCACCCTCGAGGGGACGCAAATCGGTATAGATTTTTATTCCAATCCCCCTCTCCCCTCCTCCCCACTCCTCCCAAGAGTGGCTTGAAGTTATGCCAGCCGACGCGAAAAACGATCTCCACGATAATACGTAAGACAGAACACGTCGAGAATTACGATCCGCCCTGTCGCTGGCACGCTACCACGCCTGCCGCGTCGTCGAGTAGGTATTTTTTTTTCCTCCCCCTCCCTTCCTCCTCCCAGAGCCATTCCTCTTTATGCGGAAATTTTTCTCCGCGTCGCTGTCCGACGCATTTCTCACGATTCTCGATCTCACAGCCTTAGTCCGCGTGCGAATTCGCGTGACAATGTAAAATCAATAAAACGGGGCGGATTTGAGAGAAACGTCGACTGGCTTTTATATCCGGTCAGCGAAATTTGCGGCTCTTTAACGCGGAAATGATTTAGAGCGTTAACGAAGAGCGAAAAGTTGTTCTCGTTTTTTCTCTCTCTCTCTCTCCTCGGATGGTTCCTTCTTATAACACGAAGCGTCGGAAATCTGCACGTCACGCTCGCGCAATCGCATTTTGCTATTACCGAGCTTATAATGTCAAAGCCGGGAGAAAAGTATCCCCCGGAAATAATCATCAACTGTGTGCGCGAGGTAATATCTCGCGGAAGGACTTATCGCAATTATCAGGCGGACAGTTCCCGTGATCCAATTAATTATCGGACGATCCGGAGCGGCGGATATTACCGCGCCGCGGCGTTTCCCGGCGTTCGAACATCATGTTGTTCCTTAACAGTTTGAAATTCGCCGTGGTTTTCGCAGGCGGAAACTTTCGGATTCAATTTGCGGCGTAAAAACCTACGGCGCGTATCCTCCTCCCCCCCCCCCCCCCATCACCCCTTCTCACGGCGCTATACTTGCTCGCTAAGTAGCTTACGACGTCTTTTATTAATGGAAATCGATTATTTCCCGTTGTCGCCCGCAACGCGATTATTATTGCAAGACCGAGGGGGCGAGTAAGTGCTAGCCGAAACTATCGGTCGCCTCGATTTAACGCAGTTATTTCGTCCCGGTGGATTATCGCGATAATGTGTTGCGCACCCGATAATATTACTTTCCTTCTAAAAATCTTTGTCAATCGTATTTTGACGTCCATTAAATGTAACCTCTTGTTTTAACGTCGCTTGTTAATTCGTGTATTATTTTACATTATTTTTTATAAGTCTCAAAAATTGGCGAATTGGAAATGTAGTACTTGCATCTGTTTGTAAACGTGATTTTAAGATGCAAATAGCGAAGAGGAATATATATATATAGCTATACGCATCGCAGCATTCTTCAAGCTATTAGGAAACAAGTCGTAAGATTATTTCAATTACCACGTACAGAATTTACGAGAAAAAGTTTTGATCGAAGCAAACGTTGTTATGAAACTTTTAATTACAAATCCCCGGGAAAGCTTTCACGAACGATCAGCTGAGAATCGCTGACGTAGATGATACGGGATGTGTATAGCCTCGAGGTGCAATTCCAAATTATAGCGAGGGTGGATAAATATATAGGGAACAAGGGGCGCGTCCAATCTCCCCTTCCCCCCCCCCCCTGCCGCAGTTAATCGTCCCGAAGAAATAACCTCGGTAGGTTCTCCGTTCCGTCGGTTCCCACCGGAAATCCATTTTATGTAGACATCGTTTTTCCTCTCGCGGACGGGGAATTTTGTCTGGTATAATGGCGCGCGCGCGAGCGCGAGGCCTAATCTTTCCGGTGGCGTCGTATATAAAAGTCGATTGGGCTTTTTGTCATTGAGCTCGTTACACGGCTCCTGATCTTACGAGCTCGCTGGCCTGATCCACCCGTCGAGCGAAGAGCCGCAATGGCCCCGTTTCTTCCCGCATTCTCGCGCAAGATCGCTCCGGCGACGACGTTGGCGTTCCCTTACCGGCAAGGTAAACGACGTTGGAGAAATAAGGTCCGGCTTTCATTTCTTTCTTACGTCGCCACGTAATGCAGATGAAATAAAATTACGACGTACAAAATAATAGAAACGGGAAGAGAATATAAGCGAAGCGAGAACAAACAGAGATTTCTAATTGATGCCATAATTCTGTGACAAATCGCTTTTCGCGCTTGTGCAGTTATAAATTAATTTGTTCCCTACTCATAGCTATATATTTTCGGTGCCGTGTGAATGTAATAATATTTCAGGTGTACTCCCATTGTCCTGATAATAAATGAAGACGGAATGCCAGTATAATGCCAACGTGACGCTCTTAATGTAAATATAAAGCTGTCAGCAGATCTTCTCCCTTTCATCTGAATGTCTTAATTAACGAAGAAACTTCCAAAACACAGACGTCGCGCGGGTCTAAGGTACAGTAAAAAAAGAAGGAAGAAAGAAAACGTAAAAGAACTAAATGCATTGCATCCTAAAAGGAATAGACGAAGGACGAACCTTACCGCGGAGAAATTGCGCGAGATAAAAGGTGAATTTATTTCCACAAGTTCCCATTTACGTCGCGGGCGAAGGGCTCCCGGCAGTATTTCGTGTATCGAGACACTGTCATTTTTATTTTTGCTCCGCCGCCCGCGCCGCGGACGGAGAGCGCAGCGAGGATCGATTCGCCGGAAGCGGTTCTCTGTCGTCCGCGACGGAGAAAGACCGCGCGCGCGCGGCATCGTCTTCCGCCGTCATTATTTCCGGCGTTATTCCGAGCGCTTCCGCTCTTCCTATTATTCCTCGTTTAATCGCGGGAGAGACGGATTTTTCGCGCCACGTCGATTTTGCAGGCGCCACGAAGCGGAGCTCTCGCGTGATTGATATTGCGAAGAGATGTGTGTTATCGCAATCGATAGCGGGGGCGAGGAAGAGAGAAGGGAGAGGTGAGGATGAAAGAGAGAGAGAGAGAGAGAGAGAGAGAGAGAGAGAGAGGGGAAGATAGAAACTCCGCGATTTCCGATCCATTCGTGCGCGGCGGCGGTTGCGGTGGCGGTGAATCGAAGATTTCAATTTCGAGACGTTGATAGAATGAATCGCGGCGCGACAGTTATATATAAAAGTAATACGCGAGGACGAGGACTGGAATAGCACTCGCGAAAATTAAGATTTTGATTGGAACCTGAGTTATACGAAATAAAATAATAATAGTACCCCAAAGTAAATTAACAATACTCTGAAATAACAGTCTATTTTTATTGGAAAAAAAAGGTAGCGATAGCAATCTCCGCGTTCTCGCTCGTTCTTTCATCACCGGGTGTGCCCCTGTGTGTTTAAAGTAACATGTTGATAAAACGAATCGCGTGTGTTCGTTATATAAAGTAATAGAGAAAACAAAATATGAAATAGTTGTTACAAAAATACACATTCCAATCAAGATCTACGGGATGCAGGGATAATAGTGCTTCCCCGATTGAATCAACAATGCTCTAAAATAACGCTTTCATCGCTCGCGATAATTCATTCGCCGCCGCGCTGAGCGTTGCGAAAATATTTGTGTTTAAATGAAGTGGTTCGTTTCATTAGGGTAACCAGGTTAGCCGGCGTAATAAAGCAGAGTGGATTTGTGTAATCGAGAAAACGCGTTTCCCGTATCTCGAAACAGCGGTTAAGTAGAGGAGATGCAATTAACCGCGAAAGCGGCGGCAGAACTCGCCTCGTTCGGCATCTCGTTTTTGCCCGCCCGCCGCGCCGCGCAAACGCGAGCAGGAAAGAGGAGATCTTTAGGGGCATCACTCACGTTTTTCTTCTGTCCCTTCAGCTGCTTCGAGGATTTCCACCAGGTCAGAACCGCCGGCGGCCTCGAGCCGGTGCTCTGGCACTTCACGTCATATGTCTTCCCTGCCGATAGGATCTGGTCCTTCCCCAAAATCTCCACCTTGAGCGGCCTCACTGCAAGAACCCGTTTTTATGAAAACTTTAGTTTTTACTCGACATCGCCGAAACGAACGTCAAAAATGTGTGGAGAAAATGAAACCCGATCGTCGGCAAAAAAGCTCGCAAACGACAAAGACTTACAATAGGTGATACATATTAAATATTGTAGCGCATGGAAGATTAAATTTTTGTTTAAAATTCCAACTCCTTGCGGAAGAATCTGTAGCTAAGGAAAGTTACGTGTAATCTCAAACTTTGAAAATTGGATTAAGATAACTTGCTTTCGTGTCTGTGCCTATTTGAATTTATGAGGAACTTTAACTTCACGCAATCTGTCTCTTTCTTTATCTCTCTCTCTCTCTCTCTCTCTCTCTCTCTTTCAATAATCTATTTTCATTTACTTTGCTGGTGAAACACATATAGAACCTGCATACAGACTTTTCTCTCTATACTCATATATCAATAATCCAATTTGATACAAAATAATTTACTGTGCGCAACAAGAAAGGGCATTTCAATGGCAATCACGTACAGGTCATAAGCGCGACTCGACGCGAAGACGCTCGCTTTTCTGATTTCCATTCCACCTCCCGATCTCCACTTTCGTCCCTTTTCAGGATACGTTTTTTTGCTACGTGCAGTAGCGCATAACGAAGGACGCGGTCCGGCGAATGCGAGGGAAAAAGGGGGGGGGGGGGAGAGGAAGAGAAGCGGAACGCGGAGAACGCGCGAAAGAAACGCCAGGATAATTAGAATTCAGTTCGCTCGCGAATTTCATGCCGGGCTCCTTTTCTGTCCGACATTCTCCGCGGAAGTTCCCGGACTAATAGGAAAAAAGGAAAAACGCAGATCGATGTCGACGACGGAGGACAGGGGAAGGCGGATATAGATCGAGAAAAAAAATTGGGGCGGGCTGGAAGACGTACGGAGGTGAAAGGAATCGGGACGAGAGAATGGCCCGTATAATTGGTGCTCGTCATGAAAAGCCGGGCCGAAAACAAAGGCGGCCGGAGAAAGAGAGAAACTGCCGGGCGCGAAACTCCCGATGAAGTTGGGATTTCATTTGCAAATCAAAATTCATGTCGTCAGGTGCGCGGACGGGAAGAATTCGACGAGGCTTTTAGTAGTCCTTCCCTATAGACCGAGCGGAGAACGTCTTCCTTTCATCATTTTACTTTCGTCTACATACCAACGCCAACTTGGTTGTCTTTCCAAGTTAACGCAGATAACTTTGAGAAACTAACCATGTGATCTCGAAGAAACATTCACGCGCACGCACAAACTATTTTGTATTATTAAACATTAATGTAGGATCTAGTTTGAAAAATCTCTAATTTATATTAAAAAAATAATTTAAAGGTATTTAAAATCGCCAGTTAAAAGATAATGATGCTTTTATCTTAATAAAATTTAAAATTAAATTCATAGCCGAATGTACTTCGGAAATGAAATGGTTAAAAAAAAAATATTTTTAAATAAAAGCATTTATTTTGTAGGTAAAAGTATTTATTTTGCTTTAAATTTATTTTGAAATACATATTCTAACGTTAATAGTAATTAATGTTGTGCGCAAGTAATTGCATTATTCATAAAACTTTCTGAATTATTGATTCAATTGTCTTGAGAAATATCTACCGATATTACATATTTTTTCATTATCAAGTTTTGTAGCTATGTAACTATAAAGAAATTATACATTTTATATTTTACACTATAAATGAATATGTACTTCGTACATTTTGTCATCAGTAAAGTTCTTCAGAAAATTATACTAATTCCCTTGATTCGTCTATTCGCGCGCACTTCCCTCTTCATTCGCGGGATTTTTGCGAGTGCCTTTTCGCCAATTTGTATTCCCAATCAAAGGCCCTTTCACAAATGGAAGCGCAAACCCGAAGACTTTCGTCGCCTCCTCGGGAGCTTTAATGAGCCGCTATTATTATTCACGCGCGTGGAGTGGCTTTAATCGAGTTACGAAGCGGTTCAATAAGGCGCGCTTCGTTCCAAACGAGATGTTCGCGCGTTTATCGTATGACTTCTGAAAGGAGAGTTCGGGACGGAGTACCATTTTATCTGTTAGACGCGAGAACGCTTAAGTGCGACGCTTAAGGCTTAAGCGGTTTGCAAGGACCAGTGAAGATGCTTTCCAAGATAGAAATTAAACTAAAATTTTCGAAAACACAAACTTGACAGTAGAATGATAGAAACAACATTAGAAAATAAGGGTTAATAAAAATAATTATTACAATTATAAATGAATTTAACGTAAATGTTGAATTTTTAAATGCAATAAAATGGAGGAAGATTTCTTAATTCTGTTTTTAAGTTCAACTACGAAAATTAGGTAGTAATCAGTTTAAAAATTATTCTAAAGGTAATCTTTGCGCGCGCGCCTGAAACTTTATACTTACTCTAAGAAAAAAGTTAACTAAACTGTTTTAAGACAGCTCAATCTTGTTCCGGCTTTCTCAGTGACTGAAGATCAGTAAAGGAAATAGATTTATCTGTTTCAAAATAAACTTTGAATTCTATTTCGACCGAGATATCCGAGAAACAACTTTTTTGAAAAACAAATAATTTGTACTAATTTTAGTACAATATAATTAAATCTATTGCATGTTTGATTTGACTAAAAATTAAAAAAAAAGGTTTGCAGATTCTGAGCGATACGTGAGTGCATTTTGATTCATAACAAATTATATAGATTATGCTTTCACGAGGAAAATTAAGAATATAAGGTACAATTTAATTTTAGTCTACTCGCGTAGAACTCGATCGGAATCGCCAAAAATTATCAGCATGACACCAAGTGTCGTGCTGCTAAGGATATATTCAGAACTGTGTAAAAATGATTAATTGTTGCAATTTCGTCTTAGAACGCTACATAATTATGAAATTAACTTAGAATTAACGGGAACATTTGACAGATGTAATATTTGTCGGCATATAGTAGATTAAAGAGAGATGTGCCGTGCTGGAACATTAAGTTAAGACGTCATTATTTATTATTTATTTTTTCTATTAAAAATGCAGCACATTTTTAAATGTTTATCAGAAACGGTAAAACTATGAAAAGTGCTACTGGAACTATTATTGATTTTTTTTTTAATTAACAAAATGTGCTAACTTCACAGACATAAAATGCATCGCACGAAGTAGCAAAAAAAGGTGATGAAGAAAGTCAAATGGTGAAATTAGAGTGTGTGTGTGTGTGTGGTGATGGGAAAAGGCTGGTCGTTAAGCGGCTCGTTCGTAGGTTAAAGTCGGTTGTTTCGCGAACGACTGAACATTAGAGGAGTCGCACGTCTCGAGGTTCGTATGCGCCAATCTCGCGTATCGCCCGGTTTAAGTGAAAATTCGCCGAGACCCGCAATAATGCGATTCTAAGTGATATTATTGCCATAATTTGGCAAAGCCGCCGTGAGCTCGTTGCAGTCTCATCGAAGTGAGAAGGGGGGGGGGCGAAGGGTGGTAAAACAAAGGGGGGAAGAGGAGCCGTTCTTCGCGGTCTATTCTCGCTCCAATTTTAGCGAGAGCCTGTAAACGAGGCGACGATGTACACGGTCCTCGCGGCTCGGGAAAATACAGGGAAATGAACAAGGCGTGCAACCGAATAACACTTGCTAGGAGTCTCTTGGTAAACTAATTAATTCTGGGCTCGAAGAATCCAAGCTCGGTGGAAACAAATCATTGAAGCACTAATTCTCTTACATGTATATTCGCGAACGAGAAGATATATGTGTGTATCAACGACATTTCACGTGTGCGCAAGATCCTTGAATTACCGTACAGAGCATTTGTGCATGCCAATTGCAGACTCTTTGAAATCAACTTATACATTACATGATATTTAACATTTTTATCTTAATTTTATCTAAATGGCAAATGAAAAAAATAGAAATCTATTCGATAGCGTCCGAAAAAGGAACATCGCCATCCCTAAAATGCAATTTTCTTAAAGTCAATCGTTAAAAGACTCTACGCGCTCGCTTTACTTTCAAGATGTAAGTTTGAAATTGTGTGAAGTTTTTCCACAGTGACTGACGGACGGAAATATAATATTATCAGATGAGAAGACTTCATGCCACGGCATTAATGGAACAATTCGCGTCGGAGAAGGGAGAATTATTAGCTCCCCGCGGATTGAGTTATCAAGGCACCAGGAGTAACATTTCTGAAGTTCACCCGTCTCCGGAGTGAGCTAAACCCTTCTTCCAGCAGCGCTGCCAGCGCGAGAGCACTTTCGTAGAGTCGTTACGCCGTTTGCGACTCCGCGGATTCCCCTCGTTTTGTCGCTAAAATCTGCTCGGGGCTGCGCCCGGCTTCGTTACGAAACTACTTTGTATCGCGGGCTCGTCGAGAACATCCGCCCGACGGATTGATAGCGCCCGTAAAACGGGTAGAACGGGTTCGACCCGGTCTGATAGGGAGCGTTCCGACCGACAGTCAAATTGCGAACTACATTTACGCTTTGTTTCCTACTTCATTTCCAAATGCTATTTTCTTGACGTAAAAATCCGGGAAGATGTCGTCTAGTAAATTCAACGCTTCTCGTTCGCGAAGAATTAAATTTACTAGAAGGAATCGTTTCGTTTGTGCGGCAACTTTCAAATTTATACCATTGCATAATTCGATGTGCAAATTAAAATCTTGTTAAGGTACACTTGAAATAAATTATAAAATGTAATTTTCTATTTACTATATTATTGCAACAATATTCATTTTAATTTTATTAAATCCTTCATTTTCTTATTAAACAATTCCGTAATTGCATCTGGCAATGAGTAAAAATTTCAAAAAAGAGAAAAATTGATGTACATCAAAAACTACTGAAATGCACGTGTTGTGCTAGTGTGTCATTCCTTTCGTTCTTTTGAATATTCATAATTCTATCATAAAGAAGCTTTACAATTTACAAATATCACCGTTAAAATATCACTGCTTGGTCGAGTCGAGAAAAGCAACAACGGCACGGTCATCAGGATCGACCTTAATTAGGCATTTCTTTTGATGTC